TCGGCTGAGAGGTCATGCCGGACAAGCTGTCAGTGGCAGCGTCGACAGCGTCAGCACCAGCCTTGGCGCAGGCGACCATGGAAGCAACACCGGTACCAGCAGAGTCGTGGGTGTGGACGTGGATGGGGAGGTCGGGGTACTTGGCACGGATAGCACCAACGAGCTTGGTCGCTGCGTGCGGCTTCAAGACACCAGCCATGTCCTTGAGACCGAGGATGTGGATGTCAAGAGCAACAAGCTTGTCGACAAGGTCGAGGTAGTACTCGAGGTTGTACTTCTTCTTAGGGTTCTTTGGGGGATGTCAGTGGAAACGCTCAACTACAAAACAGGAAATACGAAATCATCCAAAAAACGAAGACACAAGATGAAGGCTGACTTACTAGCATGTCTCCCGAGATACAGCAAGTTCCCTCAACGACACCACCGGCCTTGTGGACGGCCTTGATACCGACCTCGAGTTGGTCAATATCGTTCAAGGCATCAAAGACACGGAAGATATCGACACCGTTCTTCTTGGCCTGCTCGACGAAGTGGTCGATAGCGTTATCGGGAAGCGACGAGTAAGCAACACCGTTGGCGCCACGGAGCAGCATCTGGAAGGGAATGTTGGGAACTGCCTTCCTCATGCGGCGAAGACGGTCCCAGGGGTCCTCGTAGAGGAAGCGGTAGGCAACATCAAAGGTGGCACCTCCCCAGCATTCCAAGGCGAACAGGTTGCTCAGGCCGTGGCTAGTCTCCTTGGCAATGTTGAGCAAGTCGACAGTACGGACACGGGTGGCCAACAGAGACTGATGGGCATCACGCCATGTGGTATCCATGAGCAAAGTTCCCTTGTACTCGCGGACAGCCTTGGCGAAGGCCTTGGGGCCCTGCTCGGTGATGATCTCTCTCCAGCCCTTCTTGCAGGTGGCGGAAACATCGACCTTGGAACCATCGTCGTTGAGGAGTTCGGGGAGAATGATGTCACCCTTGAACTTGGGCTCGCCAATCTGGCCCTTGATGCTGCTACCGTTCACGGCGACGTCACCAAGGTAGGCAAGAAGCTTCTGAGCACGGTTCTGGCTGCCAATGAGGTCGAAGAGCTGAGGAGTGTCGTCGATGAAGGTGGTCCAGCAGTTGCCGTCAATGAAGGTGGGGTGGGTGAGAAGAGAAGCGAGGAAAGGAATGTTGGTCTTGACGCCGCGAATACGGAATTCGACAAGAGCACGGAGGACCTTTCTCCTAGCAATCTCGTAGGTAGAACCGTGGCAGGTGCACTTGACCAACATGGAGTCGTAGTAAGGGGTAATGACGGCACCGGCGAAACCGTTGCCACCATCAAGACGGACACCGTTACCACCAGCAGATCGGTAGACTTCGATCTTGCCGGTATCTGGTGAGAATCCCTTGGCCGGGTCCTCGGTGGTGATTCTGCACTGAATGGCGAAACCTCTGGTGGAGATGCGGTCCTGGGTCAGACCAAGCTGCTGCAAGGTGGCGCCGGCGGCGATCTGGATCTGAGCGGCAACGATGTCGATACCTGTGATCTCTTCCGTAATGGTGTGCTCGACCTGGATACGGGGGTTGATCTCGATGAAGTAGTATCTGTTCTGCTGGTCGACCAGGAACTCGGCGGTACCGGCGTTGCGGTAGTTGACCGACTTGGCCAGCTTGACTGCATCGTTGAGGATAGCATCGCGGACGTCGGAAGGAAGGTCTTTGGCAGGGGCAATCTCGACGACCTTCTGGTGACGACGCTGGACGGAGCAGTCACGCTCGTACAGGTGGACAATGTTACCGTGGTTGTCACCAAGAAGCTGGACCTCAATGTGCTTGGGCTTGTCCAAGAATCTCTCGACAAAGACGGTGCCGTTGCCGAAGGCGGACTTGGCCTCGGAGGTGGCTCTCTCAAAGTTCTCCTTCAGGGTCTCCTGGTCGCGGACGACACGCATACCGCGACCACCACCACCATATGCAGCCTTGATGATAATGGGGAAACCATATTCATCGGTGAAGCTCTTGACCTCCTCAAAGGTGGCAACGGCGCCTTCGGTACCGGGAACGACGGGGACACCGGCAGCGATAGCGAGGGTTCGGGCAGAGACCTTGTCACCGAGCGAGTCAATGACATCGGCGGAGGGACCAACGAACTAAGAAAGCACATCGAGTCAGTAGTGTTATCAGGTTTTAGGGTGAGTTTTTAGCGGGATGTCTCACGATCAGACCGGCCTTCTCAACGTTGCGAGCGAACTCGGCGTTTTCTGAGAGGAAACCATAACCTTTTGGCGGTGTGTTAGTGGCTTGACTACAGCATCTAGAGAAGATGCGTTTTCTTACCAGGATGGATCATTTGCGCGCCGTGCTCGACGGCAATCTTGATAATCTCGTCTCCAGCGAGATAAGCACCGACCGGGGTGTACTGGCCGCGCTTGCCAATGACGTATGCCTCATCGGCCTCTGTGGAACGTGGGTTAGAGGGGTGCTTCGGGGTTGTTCAAAAGCTAGATGTGGGCTTACTCTGTCTGTGCATAGAGAGACGGTCCTCATAACTGCAAGGAGAGTCAGTATGCAGAGCTTGGGGGTTGCCCAGATGGTGCGCTGTACCTGAAGACTGCGATGGTGTGCAGCGAAAGCTCGTGGGCCTGTAAGGAGTCAGCGTTGGATCTTCTAGCGCCATGATAGCAGTATTAGTTGGGAAACGTTGAGTCACGTACTGTTCTGAAGATCTAGACACATTCAAAAGTGAGCATTTCTGTTTCTGAAGCATTACCTGAGCCAAGACAAGAATCGACATACACGAATGGCTAGAAGGCGGCAGTAATTAGCTTGCGTGAGTCAGGAGCTCGGCTGGAGGGAAGTACTTACGAATTTCACCACGGTTGGCCACTGTAGAGGGGTGAAAGACAGCAGGTCAGCACAGTTCTTGGATCGAATAGCGCGAGAAGGCATGGAGAGAGTCCAATGGCTCCTCGAGAAGACCGCGACTCACCCAAGATCTTCTTCAAGTGCATGATGCTTGAGTTGGCGCGGATGTGGTGGATGGTCTGGGGGTCCTTCTGGACCTCCTCAACGTCGCCGTCCTCGAAGACATCGTTGAAGGTAACCTGTGTTTGGGCCATGATGGGCGGTTGTGTGTGAAGAGAGGACAGGAAGAAGGAGGGGAGAGACCGAACGGGTTCAGAAGCTACGACGGCCCGTATTTGAATGGACCGAGGAGCAGGGGAAGCTGTTGAGGTCTCAGTTGCGAGACAACTGCGTCGGGGTGTCGGTTGGCGGGGTGGTTTGGACTGTTAACTGTGGTTTGGGTTGGTGGGGTTATCTCCCAGGTCTCCCAAGCTTTAAGCCGGTCTAGGTCTGGGTCCAGGGCCGGTTCGGACGTGCCGCTGGGTTTGGACTTCTGCCGCCTGTGTTTTTTTCTCAGGTGCAGATCAGGCGCAGCAGGATGCGGCGGCGCGGGTAAAAGACAAGACCAGGGGGACTGATGAGCCGAAGGCCGAAATTTGAAGCGCGCAACTGTTGTTGCTTGTGCTGTGACTGCTGGTTTGTTGTGTGTGGTGTGTGGGCTGCGGAAGTTGAGCCGAGGGGGTATCGATTCGACACGAGAGGTGAAGATTAAGAGCCGAGGGGTAGCTCTGGGAGGGAGCTTGTCTTCTCTACCGGGGAGAGAAATAGGGAGAGAGAAGCGGGAGGAGCTTCGATGACAGGTGAGCACAGCTCTTCTCTATTACACCCGTCCGACCGAAAGGTACAGAAAGTGGGTGTCGGTGGTGGGGGGGTATGACGGTGGTGGATGCGAGTAGGTACGGATAGTTGAGTGGTATCTTTAGAGGAGCACAAACAACGAAGCAAAGCAGCTGATAGCAACTCAGTTAAGGTAGGTAGAGAGCCAGCAAAAGAGGTGGAAGCACGGAGGACGAGAAGAGGAAGAGAAGAAGGACGGGATGAACTGGAAACTCGAGGGACGAGGGGATTTATTGTATTCGGAAAGCTGGGAGCTTGTAGCTAGCTGTCTGTGTCAGGGCTCACTCAATACATGCATGTATCGATGGATGGGCTGGCTCCCCTCGTCTTCACAACTCTGGTGCGCTTCGGCTGTAAGTAGATACTTCCTCTACCCAGACTGTAGCAGTAGTCACAGTCTCATGATAGACAGGCCCTGGCAACCATTCTTCGTCCAGAGTGCGTAACGGGCCATGGTCCGTTGTAGGTACACCCCAGCTTAGACAGGACCGCAGAGTGGGAGATCAGAGATAGACCAGACCAGACCAGGCCAGACCAGATCCATCCGCCCATGTCCACCGTCCACCCTCAGTCAGTCACAGTTCAGACCAAGCCAATCTTGGTGTTGCAGATGGCCGGAGTGACTTGCTCAGCGGCAGGGAACCCGCGACGACGATGCTGTAACTGGAGGCTGGCGGCTGGAGCTGGGATTGACTGACAAGACAATAGACGGCCGGAGAGTGAGGGACTTGACCATCCTCCCCTGCTGGTGCTGTTGTTCACCCCTCGGTGTCATGAAGGAGGGGACCTTGTCTCCAGCTGCTAGCGCCAAAGTAAAGCATTTCTTGAGGGTCGCCTGTACCAGTGTACATCCATGAGTGTAATTCACGGCGGGAAAGATGCAGGGCGATGTGTTGCCGACGCCGCTGGGACGGTGAAGATTTGGCTCAGACGGAGCAGAGGATATGGTGGTGGATGGCAAGATGGATGGATGGAGGGGAAGAAGAGGGGGAGGGGTGAGACCGCGGAACATGTACCTAGGTACCGAGGTACAAGGTACATCCATAGTTCCCCCCTTCCCTTCCTGCCCCCCCTTGTCCACTCCTCGATGGTAGCTGCCCTGTCTTGGACAGGAGCTTAGGCCACTCTGTGATGTAAGCTGCACTACTCAAACAGCCGCTTTGTCGCGGCAAGAAGGACAGGAGAGGGCAAAAAAAAGAGAAGGAGCCTCTAGAGTCTAGAAAAGGAAAGAAGAGACCATAGAAAGTCACTCCCCTTACGTTACTCCTAATTATTACCCAATCTGCCAATCCACGAATACAAAGATTATGACTCGAAGCAGCGTGACATACCACAACATGCAATGGAATGTCTCCCCGGCATTCGGCTTCTCAACTTTCATCTCCCACGTCCCACCTGACTGACGACAACGGCGGCATGGCATGGCTGATCCTCACACTTGGGGATGTCTGCAGTCCACCGCCTCGCCTTGCTGCCGTCCTTGGCATTAGGTTGGGACGGATGCAGGGCAATGTCACTCCAGTGCTCTCAAATGTCTTCAACTTGACAACTTCATCTCCAAGAGCAAAGTTGATGGGAAGGCCCGACGACTATCCAAGGATCAAGGTGCGACAGGTACCCATATCCAGTATCCGTAGGAAACGTCCATGGGAGACCAACCTGAGATGCTGATACCTCTTGGCTCTGCAATGCCCCCGCGAGAGAAACGCCGTGAAAGTCTGAAAGACAGACGCCGCCCTGAGAATAGCAGCAAACCCCCCATCCCCGCCCATCCCTGACCGAGATCTGTTTCCACCGGCCCCAGCCTCCGTCTCCGTTTATTAGGTCGTCTCCAGCCCGCCGGCGCCTTGACCGCAGCTCCTGAGACGATTGGTGAGGACAGCCAAGAGATCTGCCATCAACAGATACGACCCCCAAAGAAACACTGTTATCTTTAGAATACGGACAGCCTCATGTTGAACACGGCAAGCCGCAAACCAGAGAAACCCCACGAGAGGCGTCTATCGAGACACGACGCCTGCCCATCCCCTCTCAAACGCATCAGGCCTGGATCTGAAGAATGCCTGTCAGAGGTAACAGAAAATAAATAAATATTCTAAAAGTAAAGAAGATTGGCGGGGTCGCAAAACACCGCTAGACCAGAAGGAATTGACCAACCAGAGCCTGCCGATACAAAACAGCTTCCCTCCGGTTGACTAACGGTTTCTCGAGGTGACAACTCCAGGACGGGATTAGTGATATTTCTAGCATGACAAGTGCATACTTACTGTCTGTCTATGGGCAAGTTAGGTATGGGAAATGGGGGAACAGGCAATGCCAAACAAATTACAACACAAGCAAGAAAGCGCAATTACTCGTTACGAGGGTCAACAAGCAAGACAAACTGACAACAGCAGTACCCAGTACAAACAATTGCAAGTTAAGGCAACAACACTGGACCTGCAAATCCAATGGACAGGGAAAGACACGCCGAGGAGCAAGATGTACGTATTGTGTACGGAGTACCTCGCACCTGTCTTTTCCCATCTCTCCTGCGGCTGGTGGCGCCTGTCACAAGGCAAGACCGTCCCAGGAGCACCTTAGTAGCGGCAGGCAGGCCGACAGCATCGCACTTTTTCCTTCCTCAGTGCTCTCGGCTTCCCTTCCACCACCAGATACCTTGAACGATACCTTACCCCAAGCTGCCGTCCACCATGTCACATTAACTCGACATCTCCCGAAAGAAAAGCAACGCGTTCGGCGAACTTCGCGATGCCACGAGCACTTCACGGCTTCACGAAAAGAGCTACATGGGTCTTCCGGGCCTCTTCACTGCCGAAGCCGAGGATAACACGGCTTCGCGCCGTGTCGTTCGGGCGTCCGCCTCTTCAAACCAGCACCACTGCCACCGAATGACCACAACTACCGGCTACTCTGTTTTGCTTCGGGACAACTCGACGCGATATCAGCCTTTGATGGATAATCTTTCACCTGCTCGTCCCTGACCTTTTTCGCCCTTTCTGCCCCGCGGTCCAATCCATTACAGAATGCGGGGTGACTTTCACAGGGTTCATCCGTCCGGCGCGTCACGCTGTACTCGTACCCCTTTGTCATTGTTCCCGAGGCGTGTACTACAGCCTACAGCCTACGGCACCGAGAGGGCAAAGGGGACCGAAGATATCGTCAACCTCGGTTTCCTGCCCCGAGGGACATGACGGCGGCTTGACGGCTGCTTGCCCAGAAACGACGACAAGGCAGGCCACGCCGACCTTGGCCCGGCCTGGCTATCCCACCCGCCGACCAACTTCCGCCCACACTTTCTAATTCTTCAATTAGGTGGATGGACATCACCACATGTGCAACGCGCCAACGGCACGCATGAAGCCACACGGGGAATATGGAAGCGCACCACCCTCAGACCCTCCAGGTTCTTCTCGGTCTTGACAAAACCACGCATCTCCATAAAATACTTGAGCGTTATTCCCGGTCCGCCTAGTCGAACCGCTCCCGCTACCAACTCCAATCTCGCATCATTGGATACAAGAGACATCTGGGCTGTCCTAGACTCCTAGACCACGTTTGGATCGATTTTGCAACGTTGCTGGAAAAACGACACCATAATGAGGTGTTAAGAAACATCAAACCAGTATAGATGCAAGTCTTTGCATCGGCCATCTGATTCTCGACTCATCACACCGCCAAGGTGCCATGCTGGGTCTCACTTGCGCTGCAAGCTCAAGGGCGACTCGGCCAGATTATCCTACGCAGCTAAGCCCAGACTACTGGGTAACCCACGATCCAAGACTCTTGGCCCCCCATCTACAACAAGGCTATTTTTTCTTTCCGTTTCCTCTTTTTGTCCCCTCCAGACCACGCAAGCATCCAAGCAGCGTTGGCAAGGCCGTAAAGCGCGAAGGAGCGAGAAAGTTTGACCTCGGAATTTGAAAAAAGCCCACCATGAGGTCGAGGATGACTCTTGACCCAGATCTGGATACTCCGACCTCGGCTGGTCCGGCATTTGGCTTTCAAGCTTCTTGGTGAAAGAAACTGCGCATGTCTACTCACGGCGTATCTTCAGTCCGCCACCAGGCCGACGCGTGAATGTCGATGGTAATAGCAATTAGCGATGGCTTCCTGACATGCTGCGACATTTATTTCACCTGGCTGACCCCCCTTTCCTTCTTCAGCAGGAAAGGGTCTGCCAGCTTGCGTGATCGGCCTTTGTGTGACTCTTCCACGTCCGGATATCACAGGTTATTTGAGGCATACGCCGTATGCGTACCCGCCCTGCACCCCACGATTAATAACGCCGGACTCCAGCACATGCGCGGTCCCAAAAGCGAAGATGGATCTGCACTCGGCCGGCCGTCCGGCGAGATCTGCGGCCTGTCCAAGACTCCAAGTGCCAGCAGCGAGGGAGGGGAGTGGGGGTCGGTGCTCTCACAGTTTCGGAGAGGGCCACCATGTCACCATGCCATGGTGGTGCAGTATCCACGACTCTCGCGGCTTTTTGGTCCAGAGGAGATGAGACGACACCCTATTTTTTTTTTTGACTCATCGAATTTAGCTCACCCTGTACTGTCTCCGGCCCCGGCCCTTGAAACCATGCACGATTCGCCCGAAATAGGAGGGCTCCGCTCCGCTCCGTCCGTCAGGACCGTCACTGAGGCCCAGATGAGCGGTTGACTTGGATTCTTGATGCGCGGAAGAAGGAGACGACGGGACCTTTTTTTTGCTCGTAAGAACTTTGAAAGTTCGGGTCGAGGCCCCGAGACCGCTGGCCCACCATCAAAGCACCGTCACGACAACGAAGACCTCCGTGCCCAATTACATTCACTTGCGGCTCACCATTACTGCTACCCACCTTATTCAGGTCCATGTGGTAGTGCTTTAGTCTGGGCTGCTTCCAGGTTGCTTGGCTTGCGGTCCTTGACCCTTTGCTGCCAAGAACATCACTTTGACTCTTCACGACTCAGAGCTGCCACACTTGCTGGGTTCCAGAAACAGTTCGCTGTTCTATTCTACGACTTTGCGGACCGCAATGAAGTGGCTCGTCCCTGAGTGTTTCCCCGGGGAATCAGGGTCCGTTTCCGAAAAGCAAAACAACAATGCAAGGTAATGGTACAGAACCGCCAGCTACCGTCCGCCGCGGCTGGGCATTGCCACGTTATGCCACGCTATGCTGTGCTGCCGTCGACGGGGATTCCACCCTGTGACGGCCTCACCACAGCCGTGGGCTCGTGACAAGCTCTCGGCGTTCTTTTCACATCAAAGTCGAACCTCCCCTCTGCGTCGTCATTATGTTGGCGAGGGCCTTTTCCACACCCAGCCAGCAAGTTTCTACCGCCTCGTATCGCCCCCTTTCCAAGCTTCTCCCTCTCCCTCGAGTGAGGGGACGCATTTATTTGCCAACCGCCTCCTTGACCTTGGTCTCGACCTTGGCCTCGATGGCATCGGCCTTCTTCTGAACGGTCTCAAACGCATCCTTGGTTGCTGAAGCCTCCTTGCCTCCCCAGTAGTTGTACTGCATGTAACGGTATCCCTGGGTAAGCTGTGCGCCCTCATTGATGAAGTGGCACGCGAAGAGGAGGTAGTTCTTGGGCGAGACGGCGAGGGAGTAACGCATGAAGGTGGCAGAGTAGATGCAGAGAGCACCCGTCATCTGGCCGGAAATCCTACAAAAGGGAGAGGTGCATCAGCATCTTATCTTGTCCGAGGGTGCGGATGGCGGGAGGAGAGCCTGGGGGATGGATTCGACGTACAGGTCGGGGGACTTTTGGGTGTCCATGACAGCGGCCAGAGGAATACCAAAGTTGGAGACGGGACCCCAGAAGTCTGCGGTGCGTGACGAATTAGCCTTGCTATCCCTCCAGAGTCCAATCTTGAAGCTATCGCGAGCGGCCGGCACCGGAGTATCGAAGTCCGTAAGCGCCGGGCGTTACGGGGTATCGAGGCGACACGGTCCGGCACCTCAATCGCACTGGATTCGAGGGAACAAGCTTCATCAATGATTGACTGGCACTCGAGGATGCCGTGCGATAGCTGGCGATAGCTTCAAGCAAGCTCCCTTTCTGCTCATTTGCTGTGTGGGATAATCCCCGCTAACTCCGGACAACGGAGCCGCGGGCGAAAAAAAATTCGAGAGAGACGGGCGGGGGCACAACGTACGGGTAGAGCAGACATAGTCCGACACAGGGTTGGACCTGATCTTTGCGTTGATCACCTTGACAATAGCAGCCATTGTGAAAGTTTGTGATTATCTCGCGGTTGGAAAGGGAGTGGAGGTTATCGTGACGGAGCAATTGGCAGAGGTTGGTCGGGGGGGAGTTGGAAGAGGCGGCGGACAGTTTTCCAGGTTTGGATCGCGAAATTGTTGAGGCAATGACCAAAGCTCCTTCCTCTCTCCCTCCCTCTACAGATGCTGCGGCGCTCCGAAATTTCGCGGGCGCGGACTGGACGTGCACGTTTACGCTGGCACACTGTCTGGCACACTTCCCGTGGACCTTATATCGGACGGGGACACTCGCAACGGGCGCCTCTTTACTGGACGCTACAGGCTATTGCTGGTGCTGGTGCTCATGTATTGCATTGCTGAGGTGCTGTAACTTCCTCCCGAATAGAAAGTGGAGACGCCGATATGCCCTTGGGGGAGGTGATGGGAAATAGAGGGATGTGATTGGATGGAATTTTACAGGTCCGTCAAACGGTTGGACGGACGGAGGACGGTTAGAGGGGATGACTAAGATTGCTTACCTCAGATATTTGAAGTTGAAGTGCGAACCTCAAGGATTGAGAAGGGAGAATAAGATTGGTGTGAGATATCATGCATGGTCAACTTACGTGTGCGAGAGACTCTGTGGTTTCGAGGTATAATATGGGTCTCTACCTTCCCAAGGTTTTCATCTTATGTATAGATGAGATGGGAGAGAAATCAAGTGATGCTGGTTTTTCAGAGTAATCTTTGTGCCATCGGGTTGAAAGATGTAAAGAAAAGGTTCGAGTGAGTAAGTGGAAAAGAAATAACAAATTGATTTCCCAGTTCATCTTCCCATCTCCATCTCTGATCCTGGATGCAACTTAGGGCACGGTAAGTCTCCTGAGTCGGACCAGAGGGTTTCAGTATGGGGAAGGACCTAGATCAGGACTGCTGGCGCGGTGGATGTTGGATGGTCATATCATTCACACGGGCGGAACCGAACATCGCGCATTGGAGCGGATGGAGCCGCGGATGATGTGGGAAAAACACGCCATAATCAGCTAATTTTTCTATCTACACCGCATTATAGATTATGGAGGAAGACCTATGCCCTTCAACAGTCGATTTACTCATGGACATACCGGTCTGTCGAGGGAATGGTGGATTGGAGAGCATCCAGTCCATGAGTTCATGAACACCCCTCCCCCGGTTTGACGCGGCACTGTCTATCGTCAGGCCATGCGATCTTACACATGAGGCGCTTATAGAACCCCTCTCTGGGAGTGTCTTTCCTACGTCGTGTTGTAGATTGATGGGACGGGTAAGGCTGATGGATTGGTGCGGATGCTGCAAGCCCCCCCGTCCTCCCTTCATCTAACATGCATCAATGGTGCTGTACCGCTCCAGTTTCAGGCCTGTAGCCTCCTCTACAAGATTTTGCATGTACGCATCAGCTCAGACAATGAGTTTAGTTCTAGACTAAGGTAGACCACGGATAAGATGGAATCAAACCCGGGGCCTGCCGGGGTAAAAGGAAAACGCGGGGAAGAAGCGGGATGGGGATGGTATTTCTCGGGGATACTTCGTGTGGAGTCCGGGATGTTGTTGGGCGGCTGACACATATTGACGAAGGGATTGGATGGTATGTCTCGGGGTACGTCTGGGGTCTCGGGGTTGCTTGTTTCCTCTCCGTCCATCTCTCATACACACTGGGTATGTGATTGTTTTTCGTTGTCGTTCTCGAGGATGTCGTCGGGTTCTCAGCCGGGGGTGTGTAAGCTTGGGAGCTCTGGCTCGGGGGCAAGGCCGGGGATGTACCCGGATCTGGTTCCGGATGAGGTTGGGGTATGGAAAGGTGTCTATGTCAGGGGAGGAATTGAGATTCAGAATAGATGTAGATTCTCAAGTGGGATAGTGCCCTGTTGGGCTCAGGTGGTTTGTGTACCTCGTAGCTGATATACGTTAGCCAGGGTCAGTTGGCTTGTGTAATTAAGAGATCAGGCATCTTCTGAGGCCTTGACATTAGGTTCCTAAGACTGCTCGTCTATGCTTCATGTTGTAGATAGGTTGAAAGATGATTCCCCATGAGGGCCAAACATTCAGGATATTCTCTCGAGAAGAAGACATTCGTACTGCTCTCAAGTGCGCAACATGCCACAGAGCATAACCATTGGATCTTTTACCTAGCAGCT